TCTTTACTAATCCCACAAGATAGAAACTCGAGGCTTTTACTGGAAATGCTTCGAATAAAGGAAAGTAATCTTCCAGTTACGCGCAAGAATTTTTCCTTCCGAGTCTGAATCATATATTTAAAAAAATCAATTCAACCTCATGCTTAAGAAAAAAATCATCTATTCCTGGAAACAAGCTAGTCATTTATTTGCCAACACAACTCGTGATGCGTCTTGTCTCGAGGAAGAAGAAAATAATTCGATTTTCAAGACTTGAAAACGCAGCTCACCATATCCTGGGAAGGTTCCTCAGCAAACCGCAAAACCAACAATCGCAATCCATCGTCGGAGGAATGCCGGAGACGATCAAAAGCATAACTCCAAATTGGCTTAGAAGAGTTTTTCCCGTCGCTGTCACCGAAAAAGCTGAATCCGTGGTCATAGTGGATCACCAATTTTCCTTGAATCCCTCTAAACTGTGCATCTATGAAGAAGAAATTGGCTTCAAGGATCATTTCGCAAACTTCGTGCAAGGCATTGAAAACATTCGCAAAACACGGAAAAATGCATTCAATATTGATTTAGCGAGCATCCATCGGATTCAAAATTGAACTCTAGAAAGAAGAGGTAAGCCTGTAAATAAAATGGGGATAAGAAAAAAAATTGCAAATGACTGTCGGCAAAATTTTGCATGCTTCAAACAACCGACAAACGACAACTCACTGCAAGAAAATTCGCGCATGGCAAGTGCTTCGGCATGACTGCCCTTGACCAGACTTCGAGCCCAGTGTGCCAAGTCCCGATGGGTTTCACACCGAAACTCTTGCGTCTCCACACCGTCTTTCACTCCGGTTCGAATGACGAATTTATTGTGGTGATCACCGGGCGAAGTGTTGACTAAACGCGTCGTCACTAATGGCAAGGCCTTCGACGGATTCGGCCAACTTTCAATCGACCACGGCGCAACGGTGTACATCAGCAAATTCGTCCTCGTCAGGGCAACAAAAGTTGGACTCCAAAGATCCTTTCCAGATCTGGAAAACAAATATGAAGGTAACAGTTGAACCTCGACAACTCGAACCTTACTACGTCATATTTAAAAAAAGTCCCCGTCTGAATTTTTTCGGAAACAAGGAAATAAAAAACTCCCGAACTCGAAAGCTTTCCCCCTCAAACCAACATCGTCGAGTTTTCCAGACGCCTTATATTATTGACGCAGGAAAGAAAAGAAAAAACAATAAAAATTTAAATTGATGCGTTTTGAAAGGAAGTGGAAGAATATTCTTGCAGAGAAACCCTCACCTCCAAGTTCAGCATAAAAAAGCAATTCAAGGCCCAGACTGTCACCCATCAGAATTTCCTGTAATTCTTATTTATTTTCCTCAACAAAAATGCTCATTTCATTTTCTAAAATCGAATTTCTTTGCTTGTCCCTTGAAATTTGACTCAGAGGTTTGATTGTAATTTCAACTTCACAAAGAAATAATGGCCAAAAAATTGCTGAGAAATGTGCTGTCATAAAAAATCTCAGAATCAGAAATAACCTCCAACGATATGTGCGAGAGATTACGATCACAACGAAGAAATTAAAACTATTTTTCAAAAGAACTGATGTCATTTTAAATCAAGAAGATATCGACAATCGAACTGATTCGAGTTCACAGAGAAGAATAGATGTGAAGTACAGTATTAAATTTTTTATTTTCACAAAATCTCAAGAGAGGTGCTTGTTGGCAGATTAAAGGTATAGTATTTCTTCAGTCAAGAGGCACACTTCCAACTTTTCAATTTCTCTGCACTTCAATCTGGGGGAGTAACATTTCAACATGGAAGACGACAGAATTCACGAAATGGCCAATCTTCAATCCATTCATTTCAGAAGTAGGCACGGAGAGCAAAAAATCTTTCGAAGTGTCTTCAATCATACTCATATCACATGCAAACTCAGATTTCAGCACATACCGTTCTGGATCTTCTGCTCGACGACAAAGCCACCCCATGGACCTGACTTCATCCCCTCGAAGCATGAGTTTATCAAGCGGTTCGCAATTATTCACTTCAGCTAATGCGCGATTAACGAGAACGCTTTGCGCAGCATGAATGGCGTTGAACCAAGAAGACGCTTCTTGCGGAGATGACGCTCGCAGTATGCAACAACGCAGCCCATCCGGCGAATGAACTTCAACTGTCCGGTTTTCTGTAAACAAATGAAAAATCGTATAACTAAAAAACATAATAGAAGCCAAAAACAGTGAATGGATTCATCCCCAGAATCAACCCTCGGATTCGAGATCTTCATGCAAAGCATCGAACGGCGATGAAACACGTCTGTGAAACATTTAACGTTTGAAAAGAACACAAACAATCGAGAAATCCACAATTCAGATGATTAATATCTCCTATTCAATCACCATAAGAAACTGGCTCGGCGCTGGTAGATGTCACTGCAAGTCCGAAATACTTTTCTTTTAAAGGTCATTCGAAGTTTTACCCCATTCAATTCGTGAGGTTTCGCGTGCACTTTCCACGAAATCAGAAGGGCAACGAAGGAAGAGTTTCCACCCTTCTGCCAAAAGCAATAATTTACAAAACTTCTCAACACACTCAATATCAAGAAATTCAAGTTCTGGGCCACAGAAGACGGACCGGTTTTTGCGAACAAGACGAGTTGGACAAAAACAAGAAGCTGGGGATTCAACAGAAGATAACGTGACGCACTTCCTGACACGTCGTTCATCGAAGGCAGAGGAAAACAAGCGGCAAGCACATGCTAATGAAAAATAAACGCGTTGCCCGTTTAAAGTTCAACACCGTTCGTCAAGAAAGCATACTAGACAAGCAGTAAATCGCATATGCATCGATAAATGAATTAAAATACCTGGATCAGGTTTCTTCAGATTCCGAGCGAGGAAGCTCAACATGAGTGGGACACTTCTCATCCCAGCCAAAGATGGATGCAACGAAGACTTTGTTGGAGACGATAAATCCATGCCGAGAAATCCGCGCTGCAGTTCCCAGCCGATTTCTCGCAAAAGCGACGTTTTCTTGAAAAACGGCGTCACTTCTTTCAAGTACTTGACTGCAAAAAAGGGAGAAAAAAATAATTGCATCAAATTCTTCTTCGACTCAAACTGTGTCACACATGTCTCCTCAACGATTTTGTTGAAATTGCAGACTGTGACCGCCTTCCATGAAGAAATTTCTACCTTGAGAATCTATTGAACTTTCTTCAAAAATTTATGTTATGTACTGGGATTGGGAATTTTGTTATAAAAATATTGCTTAACAAGTACTCTATAAGCTTTATGCCAGGACTTGAAAAAAAATATAGTACGGTACTTCGATAAAGTTGTTTTAACGGTATTTTTTACGAGATTTTAATGCATGAAAATCATAGTTTTTTTTTTCTTGCAAAGAAACAAACCTTCAAGTTCTACAACTTTTCCGGCACGTTTCAATGCCCCAACCGCGTCATCATGCGTCGCATCCTTCAAATCTTCTCCATTCACCGACAAAATCGCGTCTCCCACGTACAACTGTTCCGTCTGGTCCGCAGACATGCCCTTGAAAATCTTGGAGATCAAAATTGGCATTCTGTTTTCCTTGCCTCCTTTAATAGAAATGCCCAAGCCGCTTTTCTCGCTCTTAACCACACGGACGACTCGCTTTTCGTTGGCAATGGCGTCCGGCGGCGCTTCATAGGCGCCACTTTCCGTGCCGTTCGGGGACGCGAGGGAAGACGAGTCATTGCCGCTGCCTGACCCGTTTTGCACGGCGGAGTCTTGGAGCGAGATGACCAAGAATTCGCTTTCGAGGGTCACGAACGATTCGTGCCATTGGTCCAGGGCCCAGACTTCGACTATGCCGCTCTTCTCCAGCGCAGTCATGGCTCAGCGCTGGCTGATCCAGTTACATGTCACTTCATCTTTATTTTATTTGAAACATTGAAATAAGCAACACACACGCCAACACCTGCAATCAGGAAATCACGTCTTCAACACATACTCCCGAGACTTCTTGTAAAATAATTCTCAAGGCACTGATGGCTGATCCACGCGATAATAGACCCAGAATAGAAGGGTTGTCCAAACTCTACGCAATCTTGAATACATATTTTCATCACTACGATTTCTTATTGAAAATGAAAACAGGTTCGGGTTTTCTACAAATACACACTTCGATAGTTTTTCATCTGACGGCATGATGAGAAATCTCACTTCCTAAAAATATTCAATAGAGCGACTAGTTCTTCAATTTCAAAACAATGCCGGGAAATGATGCACAAAACCGTCAATTCTTTTCAGTTCACTGCAGGATGAAAAGGACAATATTTAAGGTCTGGCTTTCGGAACTTTAGAAATTAAGTCGGTACATTTTTGGGTTATTCCCGGAGAATCTAGCGTGAATTATTCACCAATAATCAAAAGACGATATAAAAAATAAAAATGATTTTCTTGAAGATACTGTACCACAGAATTTTACACGACACCTCTCGCAGTTTGATAGAAAATTGTCCCGAGCACACTATTATTTTTACTTCCATATTTTAGGTACATGCTCAAGAATTTTTGAGACATCTATTTGTTTCTGGGTCTAGTATCGCACGAAAGATCCAATTAATTCAAATGACAATAACAGATCTTGAACAAAATTTCATTCCGGAAGAACACGAACAATTCACGACGGACGGCATAGTTATATACATCACGATTTGTTTTTCAAGGCTTCACAAATTTTTTGAACACAATATTAAGGCAACGTTTCGAATGAGATCCCTGAACCGAATGACTGCGGCAGTACGCCAAGTAACGAAAGTGAATCGAAAAAACAACTACTTGATCACGTGTCGAAATATCCCAACAACAATAAAAAACCACATCGAATCATTAACAATGCATAAGATTATTTTTGCCTTGAAATTGGAGTCGAACACAATTTTATTTTTGAGGAACTCGAAAACTCGATGATGAAATGAATTCCTTCATTAAATTTCACAACTTTCAATGACTCAAAAAAGCCACCCTCATGGAATATGGAACTCATATTGTAATTTACCAAATGAGATCTTCAAAGATACTCGACAACGAAGTCTCCCAAAATTTCAACAGCAAATCAAATACCTTGACGAACTTCCATCACTTCGAAAAAAAAAAAACTATCATTTGTGCGGTTTTGTCTTCTTGGGAACCGGTTTCGACTGGACAGGTTTTGGAGCAGCGGTCTTTTCATCAACCTTACCTTCCGGCAAGGCATCATTCACAGATGCGGAAGCAGCAGCTGCTTGCTTCTTTCTAGACTTGGCTTTCTTCGGTTTGTACGGACCAAGTTTTTTCCGCACCATAACCCCACGCCACCAAGCTTGAATCTTCACAGCGGCTTTCTCGCGTTTGATCAGAATCAGTTTTTCCTGCTCGGCTCGTTCCTTCTCTGCTTCGTATGCTGATACAACGGCTGTTCTTTCTTCCAGCTAATGTTCAAAATTTGTTACCCCAAAAAATTGACGCATAATGGATTTTTTGCACAAAAAACTCGGGCGAGCTAGAAGCAGGTTTTTTAATCTTATAGTGGGCTCTACTCGGAATGAATGAAAGCAACCGAAAAAAAAAGATCTTGCTTTACAAAATTGAAGCTGACGTATGAAAAGTGTTTTCTAGCTAAAAATTTCAGCGAATTCTCGTAAAATTTGTCTTTTTTTATTCCTTGTTACGTTTGGCATACATTCCAATATTGACCACCTCCTGAATATTTTTGTGATTAAAAAAAATATACCGTGCGTGTACTTGGTAATTACATACATTTTTTCATGGCTTACGAACGGAACTTTCAAGCTATTCAGCTTAAAACAGATGAAGAAATTCTCATAGCTTCAAAGAATTTAGTTTCGAGGCCCGAAACGAACTAGCAATCAGAAGACTAAAACCAGGAACTCACCAGCGCAACAAGCTCTTGATAATTTTCTTCATATCCGACCCTTTTGTTTGTCATCAAGGCTATTTCTTTCTTCATCATTTCCGTGTTGCGGTTGTATTTCGCTTTCCATTCCAGAGTTTGTTGCTCCAAAGTCTTCGGGTTCAATAATAATAAACATATAATCGCAACTGAACATGAAGTAGGAAGCATACCTTCAAGAAATCTTGCAAAAATTGAACAGATAGCACGTGATTGTGATTTTCTTCCCGGATTTTTTGACAGATCTCTTCTGATTCCCGCGCCTGAGCTGCTTCTAGATTGGCAATACGACGTCGTTCAAACTGCACAGTGACGTCGAGCAGCTGATGGTTGTACATCTCTTCTGCTTTGATCTGAATCTCCGTGTCATGCACATTGTCCTGAAAAAAAAGGCGACATCATTGAAACTTGACCTAAGTTGTTAAAACCAATATCCTGAACTTACCCTACATTCATTGAATCCAAGAAAAAAAATTCAAGATCAGTTTACTGATGACAGCCTGGTGTCGAACGTTAGAAGAATCAAAATTTCCTTGTCCTTAAAATTTCCCTCATAAGAACAAGACGCAGCACTAGGATGCTAATTTGCTTAAAAGCACGAAATTCAGTTTACCTCCAGCAAAAGTTTGATGCCAGAAAAATTGTTCGATAGGATTTTGCACAGAAAAATTTAATCGCTTATGCAGTGGGCAGACTAAATACTGCAATGTGAAGAAGTGTTGCACAAAACTTTAGCTTACTTTCGCAGATGCAACAGCTTTGCCGAGGTCTTTCAATTCTTCCTCCGAGGTCTTCAGCTTAAGCTTCATGCTTTCCTCGAGACGATGAAGTCTCGATAAATTTAACTTCTCGTCGGTCACCGCTTTCGTTTCCTGGACTAGAGATTCTTCTTCTTTTCTCAAAGCATCACTTATTGTATTGGTCTGCTTTTTGTGTAAAATATCATCAGTGGTCTGGTACAAGGTCTCCAGTAGAAATTGACTGAAATATTGTAATAAGAATGAATACGAATGCAATGGTTCGTTGAGGAACAGAAACACATACCAAACTTCCACATTCCTGTTCAGCAAGGGTCGAAGAGCTAATTGACGTTGGCACTTCGTTAATATCAGAAGCACGTCCGTTTCCGAAATCGCATAATTCAGAATCAAGAAGTTCGACAACTCATCGCACGTAAGCGACATCGTAAAAAAAAATCTGAAGAAAAACCGAATTTACGAAACCTCATTAATTTGACGATGACAAAACGGAGATCCATTTCAGAGAACATCCGGGTCGAAATTCAATTCAAGACAGAAACGAAACAAAACATTTCCACTTCCAAACAAATGCTTGAAACCACAACAAAAATAGTTCCCTCTAGTGCGTAACAGTTCCTCGTGTGCACAGCAAAAACAAAAAAACCAAAACGAAACAAAAAATCGATTCACTCCTGTCTTCACGTCAAGGCAACATATGGAGACTAGAATTGTGCTTGAATCACTTCTTGAAAAATTGTTTTCCCCAGGTGATTTCGATACATCACAAAATTTACAGGACAAATCCGTCAGTGTACTTCTTCACGTAACCTTCCGAAGGGATTCCTGAATCAGTCTTCCTCTCACAGGGAAAAGCTGAATTCATTGTTAGCACAGACATTGTTGGTACTTGGCAAATGCTAGCGCACCAAGCTCTTTGCAAAATTCTTCCACCACAATAGCTCCTTCGAACAGGGATCCATGCTTGCCAGCGCTGAAAAAAATAAGTTAACATAAAAAAAATTGATCTACATGAATGTAAGCCGCACTCGTCTACTAAAAATAAATGCAAAAATATAATGCATCCTACACTCCTGATCACGTCGGTGTTACGAGATAGTCAGTTAAAAAAAAAGCGAATACATACCCTGCAAAAACCAAGAGATTACCAAGACTTTTTCATGGTCATTCAAAGATTGCAAATTCTTCATCTAAACTCAAGTGATCCACGAACCATCTGGATTTCGATAAAATTGTACAGATCACATCACTTTTACACGCATATGAACGATAGCAGCGTTTTTCCCATTTCTAGGGGATCTACACAGTTTTTCTTCTCAAGTTTAAATCAATGTGCGACCTACAATCGTATAAATACATGAATAATACAAAAATATGATCGCGTTAAAAATAATACAATACTCCATTGCTCGCTGAGAAAGAATGCGCAAGACTATACAGTATCTTGACCCAAAAAATGCAATGGAATCTTCTCGAAAAATCCAGAAAACTCACTCAGTTTCCGACTTCGTGACGTAAATGCTGGTCTCCTCCGAAAGCAGGGTGCAACGGGTTTGACACAAGTGGCGATGGAAATTCGGGGCTTCAGATCCCACGATCTGGATCTAAAAAAAAAAAAGGAACTCATTCACACTCTGATCCAAAATTAGAAATTCAAAAAGTTAACACATACCTCATCAATAATTTTATGTAATAGGACGGGAAGCGTTCTCACTCCAGTAGAAACCGGCAATAAGGGATTCAAAAGAAATTCATGCAAATGCGGATGTGGAAGCGAGGCCAGTGTCGACAAGACACACGTCACTTGTAAGCTGAGTTCGTACGGCTAAAAAAAAAAAGACAAAAAAGGGATTCTTGAAAGTAACCACAATCTCCGAAATTCCTTCGACAGAACTGCACTAAAACCCTCCGGATTTCCAGATAAATAATGTTTAAAATAATTCTCGAAAACAAATTGATATTTCGGAACATTTTCTGCTCTGTATCCCGTTCAAATACTTGCGACGTCTTCAACATGTTGCCTAAGCTCACACTTCACAAGAATGCAACGTGATTACCGTAATTTTCAATTATATCTAAAATAAGGCATACTCTCTGACTCAGAGTCGGATCACAGGGGTTAACAACTTAGATGCGCAGTTGATCAAAAAAACATCAACTGAACCGGTTGATCAAATTAATGTCGTTCAAAGGCTCATGAATCAGTATCATCATGAAAACTATAATCTCTTAAAATATTTTCTACCGATTGAATTAATTTCTGGGGCCTCATATGTAGATGACACAATTTTACAATGCGCACTTTGAAATTTTTTGAACAGATGGTTTCTATTCCTTCGTCGCAGTATAAATCGGGATTCAATCTAATATTAATTTCAAGTAGGAATATATTCACAAGATAGCTCGTTGAGCTTTGGTTTTTTATAGTATATTGTCTGTAAATCGACAGCAAAACTCTACAACTTTTAGGCTTCCAAAACATTTTGGATACATTTCTTCCCTCGAAGAATTATTCTATCATGAGGTTCACGCAGAAATTCAGCACCTCTCGCATCCGAAAATCACAAGAAAATCTCCACGATCGTCAACTAACAAAAAAGTGTTGGAAAGACGACACGAAAGATTCTCACCTGATCCAATATGTTATCAAACCGGTCCAAAATCATTTCCAGGAAGCTGCCTTCGTAGAACGACGACTTGTCAACCGCTGCGCCGGATAAGGTACGATCAGATTCCGGACGTGAGTCGGAACTCGAGTTTTCGTCGTGTTCTCGAACAGTCGTTTTCAAGTCTTCTTCATTACTCGTTGCTTCTCTTGGCCATGCAAAACTGCGACACTGGGACAAGGCATTCCTTGTTTGTCGATGTGCATCAGCGAGGTATTGTTCGTAAGTTGCACCAGCAGGACCGGCGTCATCTTCGCCAGATGAACGAAGACAATCGGGCACCATGTCGAGAAATCTGAAGAGGAAAATATGTCAAAATGATGGGGAAATAGACCTCATCGTAAATTTCGATGGATAATGATCATCAGTGGAATTTAAAGCAACATCGATTATGATACTCGATATAATGCATCAAGAAACTTCGTGACGGAAAGGACACGACTGTTGCTTCCAAATAAAAAACGCAATACAGAATTGAAAGATCTGTCGATTTCACTCAAAAGCGGCAAGATTTGTCGATTCTCAGCACTTCCTAATATAAATGAATATCCCACGTCCTGTGATCTCGGAATATTTCACAAAATTCTAAATGAGATCACCTTTATCGCTTTTTTAAAGTTTTAGTCAGATCATTGTGTAGGCTAAAGGCCATTGACGCGAGAATATAGCATGCCATCAACAAATACGACTTTCGCATAAGCGCCCTGAACTTTTCGAGCACTGAAAAGCGAGTTATATTCGAGTAAATAGGACAGGTTTTTCAGGTCTCCAGCCGACGAAGTTCGACTTAGCTATCTGGAATACCAGATAGGTTTCGCATGAATCGTTCAACTCAACGAAAATACATGCACAGCCTTACTGATCCCAACGAGCATTCAACTTCCGTCACCGCTGTGAAGTCATACGAAAGTTGAGAGGTGTAGATGTCCTGCTCATTCCAAAAAATTATCTGGATCAATTTCCATCTTCACATTTTTTCTCCCGAAATTTTAAATTAATTAAATCATTCTACTATCAACGATGAAAATACGTGAGCAAATTTTACGAAAATATTCTGAAAACGTGAAAAATAGAAACAGATGATGGGCGCCACAGTAATGACGAAGGGAATCACGAAAAAAGAGTATTTTTCCCGGGTAAGATCCAGGTCTTCTGCAAGTTCGCGAATTTATAGCTTTCCAAACACGGTTATTTCAAGAAAATAATATACCAGGGCACTGATATTTTGTACAAGAATACTAGCATCGTGAGATAAAGAAAGAAAACTCACTCGTTCACAATCCTTTGAATTTGTGTTGGAGCCAATGTTCTGCTTCGTGGAGTGGAATTCGGCGAAAAGGCGCCGTTTTCCGCTCGTTTCTTCTCTCTCTCCTCTTCTTCGTCACTCCAAGACGAACACTGATTCATGAGCTTATCCACATTAACGTAACGTCTGTCGACCAAATTGGCGAGGACGAGATTGAAAATTATGTCCTCGCACGGCTTCTGTAGCAACACCTTGAATGCAACAATTTCAAAGATTCGAAATGTTGCCAAAAGTTGTAATTCGCCATTGGAGGAAAAGTCAGAAGCTTACTTCGAAAAGTCTCAACGTCTCAAGCGCAAGGGCGATATCTTCGCTCTGACGACAACGTTCGAGCAGGAGAGCTTTCAATAAATGACACGGTTTTCCACGTATTTCAGGCAGTCTGTTCGCGCCAAGCAGCCAATCGGAAATTTCTGTCAAAAATGCAAAATTTAAATAATACTGTACCTTCTTTGAAATATTAAAGGTCTTCGGTGAACATCTTTTAGGCATAGGACACTTGAAATATGTAACGTAATTTCAAATTCCTACACAAGCTCGTATCTCATGCCTTAAGACCAAGATCACATTTTCCTCAAGATCACATAGGTGTTGCCTCAACTCAATTTCTTTTGTTATATTTTAAGCTACATTGCACGTCAAATGACGTTAGGTATTTGGTTTGAGGAATGTTTGTCTGGTTGAAATTGGTATCTTTAATCAGGTCTGGAATCCACGCGACGCCTCCTAGTTATTCTGACATACGAACATGTATTCAAAAAAATAAGAGAAAAATGGAGATTTCTCGGCAGACGTGACTCAGAACCTGAGAACCAGTTTGAACATATCTTTTAAACAAATGTAGAGGATTAATTTTCAGATAATAAACCCTTTTACCGGTCTTTGACGAATGGATGGATTGAAGATCTCACATGAGAGATACATGGAGAATTAAAAAATTGCGTCTCATGACCTATGCACAATTCGAGGGAGGTAATGGGAATCATCCAATTAAACTCGTCATCCCCCAATCGAAAAAATGTAAAAAAAAAAAAATTAGAAAACTAATGTTTGCAAAAGAAGACACCAAAACCGCGTGCTTCGTCGTGGTTCATATTTTTTTCTTGATTAATATCCTCTCGACACACTGTAAATTTCGCTAGGAAAATTCTTCCCGCGAAATACTTGCCACATGAACTAACGAAATTTAGTCATCGATCACCGAAAAAACGACCAAAACTTCAAATTCTCACCTTTCAACAGAACTCCAGAAGATACCTGCTGCACAACCTTTGTCAAATGCGAGGTTGCCAGTAAAGCAACTGCTGGATCAGGATCAAACAAACGCCGTTCAATAGCATCCCGCAAAAACGTTACGCCAAAACACGATCCAATTTGCTTCGCTGCCAAGGAAGGAGTGGAAGCTGCGAAGACATCAGCCAAGTCCAGTCGAGACAAATACGAAAGCACTTTTCGACTCGTGGGTTCCAATACGTGACTCGGACGCCAAAACACGATCCAATTTGCTTCGCTGCCAAGGAAGGAGTGGAAGCTGCGAAGACATCAGCCAAGTCCAGTCGAGACAAATACGAAAGCACTTTTCGACTCGTGGGTTCCAATACGTGACTCGGAGATTCCATGGGTTCGTCAGAAACCGGAACATCTTCATTGTCGGGAGCTTCTTTCAAGTCTCTTTAGAAAAAATAAAGAAGTATGTACACAATACAGAACATTCCTCAATTTCAAAATGAGCAATCGCGTCGACGAACACTTCAACAATTCGACGACGAAAGACATCGAAAATTCTGTATACGGTTCAACTCGGTGAATCTATAAAATTATAAATATACAACAAATTCACAGGGAAATGAAAAATCAAATTAAAAAAATATTTTTCCAGAATCTCTGAACTCTCAATTCAAAACAAAATTTTTTATTTCTTTCAAAAATTCTTCAAAATCTTTGCAGCTATTCTATGTGAACTATTCACAAATTAAATAGACGTAACCATTTTATTCCAACATTGGAAAATGTTCGCATACCATTGAAAAAATTAAACCAAATACGTTTAGAGTAACCTTTCCAAACTACAGACATATTAATTCAAGTCAACTGACCTAATCAAAATTTTGAGCAATTTTTACGAATGGACGATGTAAAACCACACAGAAAAGCTAATCGGTTCCAGGCCCTGTAAAATTGCCTCAACTGAGTATTACGGAATGTCTATTAAAAAACAGATCCCTCAACATTTTCGTTCAACAATTCATACATAAATTCAACATAAAATGCGAAAAACCGGCAGCAAGAATAATCAGAAACCAAGAGAACGAAGGTTAAAAAAAAAATTCCAAAAAAAGGCTTCCCAGCATAAAAAAAAATATGCTAGCAGCCACATTTCCCCCAGCAACTTCAATTTTTTGACGCTTCATCACTTTTTCATGCAGACTATGATGATCCATAGAAAGGTAGCAGGATGTGAAGCGAAAATCGGTGGTAGCCCGACAATTGAGCAACAAGCCATTACGAGAGGTGTTCATTATCTGGGCACTACTGTAATTTCGCTGATGAGAATTCAGAAAATATTTCGCGATGTTGACGGAAAAAATAAACAGCGACGGGATCAAGGGACATTTTCAAGAGCATTCGAAGAAGAAAGCGAAGCAGAACGGATGAAGAAGACAGCATTAATAGCATACAACCCAAGGCCGAGCAGACGTGTTAATGCAGCCGATGGAAGCCAAGAGAAGTATCCCCATAATGACGAAATCCAGGGAGGAATTTCATATGAAAAGAGACTCAGAAACCTGAATCCCATCGCGTTTGCTCTGCTTTCTAGCCAATCGTTTGCGTTTCGCCAAATATTTCCAGTAATTTTCTCTGTTTTCGTCAGAAAAATCTCATTAAAACTCGCCATCAAATTTTGACATCGCATTTTCGCAAAGATCAGACAATCCCCTCGATAAGATCAAATGGAGTCTAAATTATCGCTTGAATACAATGGAATAAAAAAACGGTAAACGTCTATAAAACCTACTCCCGGATTCCCGATCACCAAAAATTGCAGGCATTTCTGTCATCACGCAAGAAGTTATCGATGAGCATTTTCTACTTTTTCCTTCGAGGAACACTGAACCCTGCCCCAATTCCGAAACAAAAAATTTCCCGACTTATTCCCACACACCAGAAGCCGTTCGAAGTGCGAATAAAATAATGACCCAGATTCAGATAACCAAATCTGTGTTTGAGTCAGAGAAAAATGATGCAAATTACCTCCAACACCTTCTCTAACGGAATTCGACCACGACCTCACCGAAAATTCACCACTCTAGAAGATTCGCTGTACAGTGACTTGCTGCAGTGTGCATCAATTTACAACAACCAAAAGGAGCAAAAACTTCAAAACCACCAGTACTTTCATAAATAGGAAAGACAAAACAGTGTCAATCACCCCCTCGGGTCAATGACTCAATTGACTGCAACCAAAAAAAAGGTAAAATTCCATGGCCCGGCGAGAGAACAAAGCTTGAGAAAAGAATATAATCAACAAGAACCTCGGAACAAACCCTAACCTCCAATTGGATTCTTCCAGTTTATCCGGATCCAGATTTTTGGGCAATGCGACGAAACTTTCAACCATACGTTCTATCAGAAATTCAGGCAACGACGTGCAACATTTCCGTTGTTCTGGGAATGTAACATGAACCGGGGCGACAAGAGCTGGACACAGCCAATCATCCAAACAGGACGCGAACTCGAGCAATGCGTGAGAGGCTTCCAAAGAAACCCAATAGTCCTGGAAAAAATTGATACCATGAAATCTTCAATATCTTAAAATTTCCAATTCAGAACTTACGGCACTGAGCATGAGACAGAGAAACGAACGAACTATCGGAAAGTAGGCATTTTCGGGATCAACGACTTTCGATTCCTCCTGCGGATTTTCGGAGTCAGCATTCAACGGAATCAAGAAGCAGGGAGCCAAGTCCGAAAATCGTTTCAACTTCAAAGACATGGCCTTCAAAAACTCTAGCTCTTCTTTCTCATACGGGGAAGCATTTGTTTCGCCGCAAACTTGAATAGTTTCCTAGAGGAAACATTTGATTCAGAACTTTCAAATTTTCGAATACACAGGAGAAAATGAGTGTTCACCATAAGCGGACCGAAGATGGCTTTGTGAGGCAATAGTGATGCAGGTATCCCAATATCCAACACCTCGATGAAAAATTTCAACACGTGACACTTGAAACCTGATGGCCAATCGTCACGGGCTCGTTGCGCGAGTTTCCCGAACATTCTATTTTCCAACACCGTTTCCATGCATGGTCCAGGTTCCGTCTGACTCCCAGTTTCTTCTTTTCCTCCACCTTGGATTAAGATTTCAGCATGCTCTTCGACTAGTAGCTACACACACGGACTATTAACCATCAGAAAACATAGCAAACAAGTTACACGTACAAGGAGTATCTCTCTGAGATGCGTGGGTACAGTCGTTGTTTCAACGCGATCAGTAAAATTAGATGCGGTATGTGTGGCGTAGAAGTGAGTTATTTTCCTCCAGTGGTACTTCAGATCTTCAGTGACAGGAGCAGAAGGTGCGACCTGCTCATTCAATACTTGCGGTATACATATATCCCATGGAGAGATTCTCGGAGAAAACGTCAACTTACCGTTTCAACCGCACTTTGCAGCGCGGAAGAGAGAAGGTTGAACATATCGATATCCAGTGGAGCATTCAGGTTCTACAACACAATCTCAACCTAGCCCTCTTCAATGTTCACGTGGGCACTCTAAGTACAGATCAGCACAACCTCAGCATTACTGCACGTCCCATCATTTCAAAATTCTCCAAGGCACACAGAAACCTTCGGCACCCACTTATTCCCGGACACACTTCCTTCCACAACGTGACAAATGTGACAAACGAACAACTGCAATATAAAAGTAAGTTCTTCACACTTACCGCACAGCATTCACACGGATTGCGTGCAATCTCTTGAAATTCACGGTTGACTCTCCTCTTCTTAACTAGTGCCAATGTTCAAAACGCCAATACAATTTCTTACATGCAATTTTTAAAAATCTGATCAGATAAGCTGACCAACCCAGCCCTTTAACAGGAAATCTCGGAATGGCTTATTGCTCAATTGCCTGGCTGCCAACGATTTTTGCTTGAAGTCGTGCTACCCGTCTATGGATCCCGTCCGCATGCAAAAGGGATTATGCATCAAAAAATTGAAGTTGCAGGGAATATGTGGCTGCTATAGTATAGTTTTTGTCTTGGGAAGGTTTTTGGAATTCTTTGTCTTTTCAGCTTTGAACTCTTGGTTTCTGACTATTCTTGCTGCTGGTGTTAAGTATTGAACACTGAAAATATAGAATATTTACGCATTACAATTTTTTAAAGAAAATATTGCTGTAATATTTCATCAAGTCTGTAATGTAATAGCCAGTCTCGATCTATCCTAGTTGGAGGGAACCAAACTCGTAACTCTCTCTACGAACATCAGGTACTGCTTCTTAGCACGTTACTAGTGACATCTTCATATATTTCTAAAAATGATTTCCTCACACCCGCCATAATTCAACAACACACGTTGAGCTCGTATGTTAAGGTATCCTCAGCCAAGACGACGCGTCTGCTCACAATAATGTTTGGCACATGGTATGGTCTCAAATTATAGAACCTGAGAGTTGGTCTTATTTGGAATATAATTGTCCTAAATTGACGGTAATCTCGTTGAATTCGAGTCGGGTGTGAGCTGACTGTCAACATATGCATGACGTCGCAGGTATTCGAACGGGGTACAGAGCAGAAAATGTTCCGAAATATCAATTGTTTCCAAGAATTATTTTAGAAATTATTTATTTGAAAATTCGGGGGGTTCTACTGTAGTTCTGTCGAAGGAATTTCGGAGATTGTGCTGATTACTTTCAAGAATCCCTTTTTTGTCTGTTTTTTTTTAGCAGTACGAACTCAGCTTACAATAAGTGACGTATGTCTCGTCGACACTTGCCTCGTTTCCACATCCGCATTTGCATGAATTTCTTTTAAATCCCTTGTTTCCGTTTTCTGCTGGAGCGAGAACGCTTCCCGTCCGATTTCATAAAATTATTGCATAGGTATGTAATAAATTTTTGAATTTTCATTTTGGGTTGTAGTGTGAATGGCAGGATATGGGTTTCTGATATACTGTATATATATTTCTTAGAACCAGATCGTGGGTTCTGAAACTCCGAATTTCAATCGCCATTGGTGTCAAACCTGCTGTACCCTGCTTTCGGAAGAGATCAGCATTTACGTCACAAAATCGGGAACAGGGATTTTTTCGAGGACATTCCGTGATGCCTTGCGCATTCTTTCTCTTGCAAGCAATGGAATACTGTATGTTTTTTGTTGATGAACGCAATCATTTTTAAAATTTCTAGATGTATATAAGATTGCAGGTCGCCTAATGATTTTGTTGAGAACGAGAAGTGTGTACCCCTACAGAAGTGGGAAAAAGGCTGCTAACGTTTACATTCAGGTTTAAAGTAATGTGATCTATACAATTTTATAAAAATTCAGATGGCTTGAAGATCACGGGAGCTTCGATAAAGTTTTTTTTTTTCAATCCTTGAATAACTCCGAATAATTTTGGGTAATTCTGTTTATGCAGAATACTGTATTCGCTTTTTTTGGGCAGGGTGAAATGAGGGAGTACCAGAGAACACGTTTTCCAGAATTACAGAAACACCCAAATTTTATTTAACCACCAGAATGTCATTCATTTGGTCTTGGCAAGATGCAAACTTCCTGGACTTGTCATTATAGTCACGTACTGTATATTGCTTCTATACACCAGCAGTTAACGTTCTATTTATTATGGCTTTTTATTTTTTATTTGCAATGGTCATTTTTGATAGTTTTCAATCCAAAAATTTTCAATATCTGATCAATGCAGCCAAAAGCAAACAGATCTCTTCAAAGAGATTTTGACCAAATATTCAAAAACTTATTTTCAGAAAAAATTGATCATCAATACTTGCAAATCATCTTCAATCTCGATTATTCAAAAAGATCAGTTTAAAGGCTGATGAAAATCTAATGAATTAGCAGCCAAGCTTAAATTAACAGCTTAATTTTTAATTGTCTAAGAGCTGTTTGAGGGGATTCCTTTTCGAAGGGCATCTGCCATAACTGCCCCATGCCTTACAAACTCTATACAAGGCCTCGTCGGAGGCCTTGTATAGAGTTTGCATGCTAAAAGCAGAGCTCGTCTGCTTCTAGCATAATTCAGGATACCTATATAACACGAATCATCAAAACTCATGCAGTATTTGAAAAAAACTCGTTTATTGCTCCTCAAGATCAATGCGTGAAACAATCCGTGTACCGGTGCATAGCAACAGAAAATAAATCGTTCCATTTTTTCCGAACAGAGGAACCTTTCAAGAGGGAAGCAAAGATTCGAATATCACAATGGTTCAAGTCGTTCCCTTCTCTTTTCTGAACGGAGAAAGAAAACGTATTCTGCGATGATCGGCTGAATGAACATAAAAAAAACCTATTCCACCACGGACAAGTGGGGAATCTCGTTGGTGAACTTGAACGAGGAAGCAATACTTTTCTTCAAAAAAACTTTTTTTTAATATAAAACTGCCGTATTCTCCGGTTGATTTCTATAAAATTAATCAAAACCGCTTTCCACGCGTCCGCAAACACGGTGTCCACTAGTATTTTGGCTGAACTTTTTGATTATCCCGCCGGGATGCTGGCACTGTATGACTGCTTGAGATGACCGCGGGGGTGGAACTGATACCAAGGGCTGAATCAGACTTTTGTGATGCGTTTTCTGAACATTAGGAGGTTGCAGTGTACCGGGAACCATGCTGCGGAGCGTCAATGAGCCATGGGTGTTCTCTTGGGGGAAAGATCGGGACGGTGAAAT